GACGTCTTCAAAAGGTTCGTCAGACATCACTACTGATCTGGCTCAGCTGGACATGCGTGCCAGAGTCATTTACATATTTTGTCACATGTTCAGTGGGTGCACTGGGTAATCCATGATTTCTTTTCAAAGTGCACCGCCAAACTGGATCCCGTTTATAGTCAGTGGCCGATGTGTCATTAAGTCAAGTCATCAGTGTTTTCACTTAATATTAAGGTTTTGCTTTTCCTTCATGAATTCTCCTCCTTTAAATGCAGAGGGCAGCTGATGAGAGAGGAGCAGTTGGTGAGAACCTCTGGACATCTGGAATAAAAATCTATTAAAAAAATTGATTGATTGATTGATTGATTTTTATGGCAAGACTTGGTCTCTGTACATATAATACACTAATGCACCTCATCACAAGACCATTCACAAACAGAGATCATGTATGTGCCGTTATATCTGAAGCTGGTTGCTCAGTTGCAAAAAATAATAGACACTCACCTCCACCAAGACCCAACAGGCCCCAGAAGAAACCACATTTAAAGTCACTAGATCTGGATTTTTATTTGGATCTGCTCCAAATTACAAAGTCCCTGGTAATAACCAGACAACAAACAAAGCTAACAGACAAGCGCAGATGATATATATAAACTGAAGCCCAACATGATTTCTCAGACTTTTGCTTTTTTAGACTTTTTATTCCCATTATATTTTATTTTGTGTAACTTTTTTTCTCTTCACTTTTTTATTGTACAGCATTTTGGTCAGTTCAGGATGTTTTAGATATTCTTTATATGTTAACTTGACCTGAGCGTCCCACACAAAAGTGTGAGAGATAATACGGGATATGGGATGAGTGAAGTTAAAGAATGACAGAAAGAGAAAAGATGCAGAGACTTCAGATTTGCAGCCTCCACATTTTAAGGTTTCATTTGGTGGAGTATCCTTAAGTGATAATAAGCATCAAAATGATGTACTTCACTTTTAAATATTTAACATAATACTCACCCGTATTTTCAAAAAGAACACTCACAGTCAAGAGTTTCAGTGATTAACCCTTGACATCAAGACAAAGGCGACTGATAACAAATTACAGCTAACCAGTATTGATCTGACACTTGTGAAAAAGAACACAGTCGAGAATGACACCAACACTGACAATGTCAAACCACGGGCTGGAGCTAACTCGTATCGATACAGTGTTTGGCAAAAAAGGAGGAGAGACTACACAATTTCTCTCTGACTGTGTCACAGACGTTTTGCAGTCCCAGCTGGGACAGAGACACGGTGTGGGTGCTCTTCTCCAGGAAGGGATCAAACCACACACCTCTGTGACTTCACCGTCACCTCTGGGTCGTCCACACTCTCCCTCTTCTTTTAACAAACCTCAGAGACACACCACCACCACCAGGGAATAACCTGTACTGCTCACACTTATATTATGGGTGCTAAGGTAACATTGATACTTCTACATTTTAGTTTTGAAAACAGCATTTTCAAACTAAAATGATCAAAATAAAGGTATTCTGGATTTGTGTGGACGTGGGGCATATCCATAACACACTTGATGGTTTATGAAAAAAAACTGTACTGCTGTGGATTTAGCCAAAGCCTTGTAGGTACAAACTTGGAAAATACAATTTTAGTGTTCATCTTCTGAAATCAATACTCCCTTCACTGTGTCTTCAACATTGGTGTGAGGGGAGTGGACTGGTCTTGTTATTGCTCAATAAAGTGCTCTGGTGTATGTGTAAAGGTCAACATAGAGAAGGGTTTTATTCTTACAGGGTTCTTGTGTGGAGGCAGGTAATGGAGGGTGTAAGTGTCATATAAACTTGTTTGTTGGCAGAGGAGCTCCTGATGGTACAACAACCTGGCTCTGAAATCCTAATTAGCACTGACAGCTTAACAGATTTGTCCACATACACAAACCGCACTTGTCCACTAAACCTAAACTTGTAAAAACACCAACACACACACACACAAGTTAAGACACAGCCCTCCTCCCTCCTTTGAGTAAAATTCAACTGGCCATTCCGACGTTAATCTGAAATCTTAGCCACTGTGCCACGTAAACAAACTGGTGTTTGACAGCCTCAACCCTTGTGGCCTCTGTGGCCCAAACAGAGCCGTCCTCCGTTCCCTCCAAATCTGGCCCTCACACAGAGGAGTATGAGCTCCATCTGCACACCACAGAGCAGAGAAGGAGTACAGAGCTGTGACCCCCTGAAACTCCCTGGAGCCGACCCTACTGTCTCTGAAGAGAGATGAATCAGTGTTTTCTGTCAGGGGTCACCAAAGAAAAACAAATGTACACCTTGTAAGTTCTAATCCACACTATTGTGTAAAGTTAGAAAAGTTCATTTTCAGGTTTTACACTTTTATATATTAAGATTATGCCAATACATTGAGCAAGGATATCCAATGTTCCATCTATTAGAGATGATGTGTAGTAAGGAATCCTGGAAGAACTCTTTGTCCAGCAGTACTTATTCATCTGTTACAGATTTATCCACTTTGCCCACCCTCTGTAGTGACTCGATATTACACAATCTAGAGTTAGCAGTCAGTGACATTCAAAACATCCTATGTTTCCTAAGAAAAGTTCCCCAGTGCAGAGGAATGTATGCTTTTCACATTTCCAGCTGTTTGGAATTAACAAAACAATAACAGAGTAGATGTTGAAAGCAGCAACAGTCATCATGAATGAACACTCCGAGAAAACACCGCTCAAAGTAATTTAAAGAAACAGGTAATCACTTTGGAAATGACTTTTTCATTTTCTCTCTGAGGGTTAGATGAGAAGATTGATATCAGCTTTGTACTTCAAGTACATCAAGTACAGAGCCGAGCTCCAGATGCAGTTGCATGCAGTCTCGATCAGCTGAGATTGATAGCAGAGGAAAACTGCTGATCTGGCTCTGTCTAAACTTCAAAACTGATCACAAAAACTAAGTGAGGGTTTCCTGATGCAGTTAGTCAGCACAGGTTTTAGTCTGTCTCTCTAGGAATAGATCTTGGCAACTTGAATGTAATGAGAAGATGCCGTGATACAGCCTCCTGTGACACATATCATGGTTGAAAATGTTAAACTATTCCTTTAAACTCCAAAACAGATTTTGGGGAAAAGTACTTTTAACGTCAGTGAATGGAAAAAACGAGAAGAAAAACCGAAAACTCTACAGAAAACAGCTGTGATTATATGGTATCAAATTAGAGGGAGCTCCCAAAACAAGTGGATGTGATGTGAGTAGAGGAAAGTGAAAGGGTTGTAATGGCTACTCACTATTCTAAATGAGAAGCCTTCAAACGTATCTTAGGAATTTAAACTGAGAGCAGCCTGAGAAAAGGCACCACCTCTAAATACATTAAAAAAAGCAAACACTGACATGAAAATTGATATTTTTCACTTTCAATTTCAATTTCTTTACAAGAATCAAATCAGGGAAATCCTGTGAAGAGGACAGCTCACTGAGAAAATGTTCCACCTTGCCCTTCATAAAGGGATCGTTCCGTCTGACATATTGCAGATGTTGTGCATTCGTCTAAATAGTTTAAAAATAGAACGTTCAGACAGCTTCTCGCTACGCTAACTTTGTGTTACTTCAGGCTGCAGCTGAGATTACTGGGTCAGTGGAGTGGCATCTAACTTGGCTACATCCCAGAGATTTGGGTTGCTAACACAAAGGCCATAGCCACCTGTTTGAAAGTTCAATAATGTGCTACACTCACTAAGGGGATGCGGAGGCAAAAAAAACACATGCTGGCTTATCTGAAGAAGCAATCAGCTTCCAAGAAATCAAATCACTTGGAATGTAGATGTAATTGAATTGGTAGTGAGCGCTCTCTGGGACTGCAGCAAACCGATTCGTTGCAGGAGGGTCATAGGGTGCCTGTGCTTGTGGTCCAAAAATAAACTCATCATCGAGTTCAACAGTTGTTTACTTGGAAGAAATAATTTCAACCTATACAAAACTATTATAGATTAAGTAGAAATCAAGGGGTCACTACATATTAACTTTTATTTCCGAGCTACACATTACCAAAGACTTTCTCGAGACATTTCCAGTCTCATACACAACCTTTAAGCTACGTATATATCAAGACAAGCTAGTCTCTGCAGTAAGAGAATCATATAGCCTGCATTCACATTTCCTGCATTTTCTCTTCAGTAATTTATAAGATGTATGATTGATTGATTCCTAACTATCCCCTAAACAAAAAGGGGTCCTGAATTCATATATTACTGACTCACATGTACCAACATGTTTGTTAAGCAGCTATACTGTGGCTAATACCTTCTAAGAGCCACACATTTGTTACAATCACTAATGAGGTTCAAATTCTGTGACAGCAAAGAATGAATGAATAATCTTAGAGCTAATCAGGCTGGTTGTTTTGTGGCTTGACCAATAAATTCACATGATTCTATGATTGGATGGTTTTTTTTCTATATTTGTATATTCTATTAAATAGCATGTGTGGAACTAAATTGATATATTACAGCTTTTGTCCTAAGACAATAGAGCACACACATCGGGATAAAAGCTAAGACCGTTAGAAGTGCAGAGCTTCAAAAACATCTCTCATTCATTATTGAATTATCGCCAAAACTACAGGTGTCGTACAAAAACTGACATCTACAACTTCAATTGGAGCAAAAGGAGAATAACAGAAAATAACACTTGCCAGAGAATTATCTGAGAATTATTATTCTGAGACCCCACCCTGGACTGCAGAGCACATCTACAGCCAAAAAGAGAGGGCTTGACAGCTTTTTGAACCCACCCTAAGACACAGTGGACAGTAAGTCAGCATCCCACAGCGGGACCACTGAACATACAACACATTGACATCACATAAATAACAGACAAGTCACTGAAAGAGTTTGAGAGTGAAACGTGATTCAGAATAATGTCCCTCCTGGGATCATAGAGTATTCTTATTTAAACAAGTTGAGAAAGAAAGGAGGATGAAGTTAGCTTTCGTTAAGGCTAGAGATAAAACAGGTTACTTACCAGACTTGCGCTTGGAGCCATAGTCCCTGAAGGAGAAGCAACACAAGAGGGACATGGTTAGTGACAACAGACGCCGCTCCGTCAACAACAACGCATGTAGTCACGGCATGCGAATTCAGATACTCCTGAAAGGCAAAAGCTGGCAACTGGACTCACTCAAAAACACATGCATGCGGTCGGCTTTAGCACACTAACAAATGCATGTGTTTGAGGGCGAGAGAGGGAGACAGAGAGTGAAGGACGGATATAGAGGGAGGGATGACTTTGGCCAGCTGCCCATTCTCTCTGCAACAGACACAAATTGGTCATGTGACTCTAAAGCGGCACCGCCATCCTCTTTACTGGTTCTCTTCCTCCCTCCCTCCTCTCCTCGCCCTGTCAGAGAAGAAGGCGACCTCTCCCCACATTTCAAAGGATCAGTTGAAGTTATTGCTTAATGGATTCTAATGGGATTACACCACAAGGCTAAGCTATACATGGGGGGGTGACACAGAGTTGTGTATGAGGTTTGCTGTGCTGACCAGGTCTGCGTCGGCATCTGTCAATAGTGCCTTACAGACTCAGTGTGCCAGAAGCATTGTGGCAATTGAGTTAAAAAAGATAAACAAAGGCGGAGATCAGGTGAGACAGTATACGTGCTATTTATAGAAACGTAGACCTGACAATCTGTCCATCATCACTACCCGTCCTCCCTCCCATTCTTCCTCCCTGTCTTTTTCTCTTGCGGTACACACAATCACTGTGTCCTTTTCAGTTTGCCCAAGGACTGATCAAAACTCTCATCCAACCTCTATGTAGCCACGTCATCCTGCAGCAGTACAGACAGAGGCAATAAAACTGAAGCTCAATGCTGGAGTAAAGAGCTGAATCATACTAGAACCTTCTCACCCCTGTGAAATACCATATTTTAGTTAAAAATAGCCAACATATAGGCAGTAACATCAACCCCCACAAAGGATATAGAGACCAAAAGGTGAAGTGGTCTCTTGATGAGTGATAGCAACATGACTCTCATTTTCAAGAGGTGTACCAAATCGTAGCTGATGACAGTCAGTACATTTCTGTGTAAGAGAGGGATGTGTGTGATGTTAGTAGGTGTGCGTAGGAACAACTGAGATTGTGTTAACCCTACAATATGTAATTCCACTGACCAGGGGTCTCTCTCTAAAGCAATAACAGTTTGATGATTTCATAAAGTAGCCTGGGATCATGGGAGCTGTTGTCTTCAACAACATTGACAATGAAAATCTACCTGATGGGTCAGGCAAAATAATACTCACAGATGAGGTAAAGTCTTACAGTTTTATTCACGTTACACAGCAAATGGTAATGTGTAAACATGGTCCATTACGTGTGACCAATACAAACAGTGGAAGGAAAAGCTGACTGGCTAACTGTTTACCAGTGTTCTTTTCCTTTGTCATTGTTTGACCTGGAATAATAGCAGTGACAGGCAAAGCCACGGTTAAAGCCGATGTGATGCAACTGAAAGGTGACCAAAATGAAATGTCCTGTTACCTTGAATAAAATTTGGGATTTCTCTGTGATTGAAGATTTTTGGAATTGTTTTGGATAATGTACACAAGTTAACACAAAATATAACATGGGTCTAGTCATTTTTACAAATGTTAACATATTACATCTTTAAGTCAGTAAGTATGTCATGTAAATTATCACCGTCATTCCCCTAGATTCTGAATCAACAATCCATCTGCAAGAGCATCCTTAATTAAGTCAGCGGACTGACCTGGCCCCTGTGAAACAGCCCATTTCTTAAATGAGGCACCTCTCATCTTGTCAGGTGTAATACAGAGTAAATAGGCCCTGAATATTATACTGCAGTGCCAGGAGAACACATAGTGCTCGGGGCAGCATCGCCAGCGGTCAAGGTAATGCCTTCTCACTGCATGAGGTTAATGAAAACTTTCCCTTGCTACCGATGCAACAGCACTCAGGCTAATAAAGAGGCACACTGACATGTATGCTGGCCGTGCACATGAATACACACAGATACGCAAGTGCTCTACAAGAAACATGGTAAGGGCAGACAGATGAGACAGCACATATGCAGTAAAAGCCATGTCGCATTTAAGATTAACAGTTCCTGCTTCTTTCGTCTCACTGTGCTTGTCCCAGCTCCCTTTTTCTCTGTCCCTTCATCCGTTCCCCTGTGATCTAATGTATCTGTCTCTTTGTGACTGGTCACAGCAGATGAATAAAGCCTTTATACGACCTCTCTTCCAAGATCACTGTGTGCTAGCATCCAGAATGCTTCATTGTCACGAAAGTGGGGCACAGAGAGCGGGACTTGACCCCTTGCTTTATTCCATCCATCTTCAGCCATGCTAGACACATGGCCTCTAATACATGTGGAATGGATGATATTCAAATCAGTGGCCAATGACTTATACTGTGCTGTACTGCAGAGTGTCTGGTTGTGTCTTAGTGGAAACTATGCTGTGGACAGACCAAGCCTCAGAATTGGAAGGATATTTCCACGGATGTTTTGTCCTTTTTACTGTAGGCTTGTTGCAATAGTGTTTAAGATGCTGAACCATTTTTTAAGTAAATGTTTTTTTCACATGTCCATATAAATAAGCACGAATTAGATACCTTAATGGGAGGACTCCTATTAATTCCCTCCAATTGGAATTACTAGGAGTCTTCTTCTATTTCTGGTAATTAATTCCATGTCCCATCGTAAAATAATGTGCATTGAGCCTGTAGCCTTTTTGTTGTGGTCCCCCTCAGTTTATGACTGAACAGGGCAGCAGGCCCTCTGGTCATCTGGTGAAGAGGTCTCTGTCAAAGTCTTTACAGCATTATAATCCTCTTTGTAAACCAGGATGCCTACCTGGTTTGCTAACCCTAAAATGGACAAAGTGACATGAATAAAGTACACGAAGCATACATAACCAAAATATAAACAGCGTAATGTCTGCAAACAATCAAAAGCATCCTCTCCACCACCTGGTGGACAGACAGCGGAGCACCTTCTCCAACAGACTGGTTCAGCTCCACTGCCGCAAGGACAGATACAGGAAGTCTTTCCTGCCCACAGCAATAAGACAATTCCCACCTCTGATAGTACTTACTAGTAATTACTGCTGCGATAACTGTCAATTTATTTATTTATTTTGCTTATATTATATTCATACTCCTTTTACTACATATAGTCATATTTATTATTTTAGTAATGTCAAAACAAACACTGCAATTTTGCACCTTGTCTCTTTGTGTTCTTACTCGTTGTGAATGTCCTTGACCTGCTGCTGTGACACAACAGTTTCCCGATTGGGATCAATAAAGTTCATCTATCTATCTAACTATATATTAAACATCGTATTAGATGCATGCTGAATGCCAGCTGGTTTAACTGAAAAAGCTACACAGAGTGACAATACAATAGGTGTGGGACCTGGAAATTACTTGTTGTTACTTATCAGGGAGGTGAGTACAGGGGCCTAAGAATGAGTTTTGTTTGGTGGAAAACAGCAGCAGAAGCAGCAGCATGAAAAGTACTTTTCTTTAACCAACTCCCAGGGAGCCTGTTAAGCTATTCGCGCTGTGCATGGTTTGAAAGGCAAACACGACCTCGGAGCTCTATAAACAAGTCCCAATCAGAAGAAATGCAAAGACGTAAGTATTCTGTGGTTAAACTTTATTGCTGCTTTCAGATTTGCACTGAACTCTGTAATTTCTTCGTATTGTCTGCGGAGGAGGCGCAGATGTGCATGCAAGTGTCCGAGTGAGACGCTCCCCAATTTCCGCGGACTTTCTCTGCCTGGCCTCCTGGTATAAAGTCTGTAGTAATCCAGCAGAAGTCGATGTGAGAATACAGCAGGGGATCCTTGGCTGGATTCACACCTGGAACTTGTGGGGGGGTTGATGACGCTTCTAACGACAAATGCAAAAATAAAATAAAAAGAAACTAAAAGAAAACAAATATCTCACGGTGAAAAAGCGGTGTCATGCACGTCGAAGACAGCGACGAAGATGTCAAGAGAGTTTGTGATTATAAGAGCTGACGACGGTGCCTGTGTTGCCAAGAAATTCCCGTGATCTCCGCAGCAGAGTTAATACGTCACTGTCTGCTGCACCCGGCTGCTCCACCTCTTGCCTGAAAAATGTGTTGCTGTTGTGAATGCGTCAGTGCAGAGAACCTCTCACTGTTGTGCATGTGTGAAAGGCAAACTGAGTTAAATCAATATCTGAAATTGATCTACACAAATCCCTCAAACTTAGGTGAAGGCCTCAAAGAAAGCTGTGCTGTATTGGATTCTCCATAAACGATCAGAGGCCACCACAAAGAAAATACTGCTCTACATAGTGACTCCTGATTGGATCAATAGCATGTGCTTTTACTGTTGTCATGGAAAGCAGGTCAAAGTAAAGGTTAGCCTGAAGCACGTGTGGGTGGTTGTTAGCTTTAAGCATTCACAGAGGGCTTTAGAACAACAGGCCTACCTGACATCTGAGCATTAGCCCACTAATACAGCTCAGGAGGCAAATATTAGTCAACACACAGGCCAATTAGCCATGCTAAAAGCTAACAGCTAATCACAGTAGAACCTAATTAGCCTCGTTCTGAACAAGAGGAGACATTATTGTTGTAACCCAGTAAAAACACAGAGATGTTTAGATTGTCAGCTATGCCGCTTACATGTAACATTACATGACTACATGCCAGTGGGGGAGCAGCCGGCTATTTTTGGCCTTGTTTTTAGAGGTAGGTCGTTTTTGGAGGCATCTGCAAAGCATTAGGGCATAAAGGAGGAGCAGTGTGGGACAAAGTACAGAGAGAAGAGGAGGGAGAACAGAAACACAGAGTCCAGACTCCATCCAGTGACCCAAGTCACTGAGGCTGAAATCAAACTCTTCCCTCGAGGGCTGAGCAACCAGCACCGGCTGCCAGCTCTTTTCCTACGTCTCCTCGAGGTGTGGAGAGGAGGAAGCAAGGGGTGAAAGGCGACATGAAGAACACATATTGCAGTGGTGAAGAAAGGGCTGTTTTATGTGGCTGTAG